CGTTCCCGGTGACGGAGACTTTTGGAGACCGTAGGCCTCAAGGAGTTTTTCGAGATGAGGAATCCGATAAGAGGGCCTCGTCTTCGGACTCATCCAATTGGGATGTGGTCTGATGTGGCGAATGCCACAGGGGGAGTGTGAAGAGAGCACTCAAATTTCGTGAGCATGAACAGCATGGACGACCAACTGCAACGTTGGCTCAAGACGCATCGGAAAAGGGTGCGCTCTAGTTTTTACCCCAACATAACCGTAGGGATAAATGAACATCCATTTGCCAACTATCTTGATGTTCACCAGGGGTACAGGGTTTTGACCCACAGCCACATGTGTTTCGGTCGTTTTCAGGGGGGTTCGTCGTGTTTAGTTGTGCGTGTTTGTTTGAGGTGTCTTTCTGCTTTGTCGGAAACGTGTTTGGGAGATGCTTGGGGTTGTTTCGGCGGTTGTGTGGTTTCAGCGTATCTTTTGCTTTCATAGGAAGCAACACTTGTTTGGGGTGTTTTTAGTGGGGTCCGTAGCGTGATTGTCTTGTTTTTTGTAGGAAATCGTGCTTTTTGGTGGGACACAATGCATTGGGTTGTCTTAAGTGGCTTCTGTTTGTGGGTATTTAAAAGGAGTCATATTTGCGTGGGGAAACCAACGGAACCCGAAGGGAAGACCAAAGGTAAACCATGCAATTCTGGGGCATTGTCTCAATTAGGTTCTGGCGCGGCCCGTTGAAAACGCCGCACCAGCGCGAGCTAAAACCCGCAAACCGATCCAAGCAATCCAAACAAGGTCTTATTTGCAGGGTCCCGTGTTCAAGGGCACCAATATGACAGGGGGCACAGGATTTATTCCCCTTCAAAAGTTGCAATTTAATGGTGGTCTTCCCTTGAAACTGCCACTTTTGCAGGGACCCTCTATGAAACTCAATGATTTTGGAAGATTTCCGTTGACACCTACGCCTGGTCGCTTGAGAGTGGGGATCACAGTTCCAACTGTCCAGTTTGGTCGGCATTTTACCATGGACCATGAAACCCCTGCGCTATGTTTTTTCAATTATAAACCATGAGTTTGTGCCCAAAAAGGGAGCTGGACCTCCAAGTGATGCTTATCCTTTTGGTTCCCTTCAGGGCAACGTACGTGAATAGGGTGCCGAGCCTAAAACAACACAAACCTGAACACTTTGAGAAACTGCTAGCCAAACGGATCCACAAATTCGATGGGTTCCTCGTGCGCCTGCATCTGACAATCATTTCAGCTTTCCGAGAGCATGAAGGACCGGTCCATCTGCATGCCCAGGGCGACTCTGTCCAGAATCCACTTTTCCGGGCGTGTGTCACCCACTCTTCCTCCAGCTGAGGAGTGGTGTGAGTAGCAGACTGATGCTGCGCTCGCTCGTCGCGTAGTACTGCAACAGCTTCAACTGAGATTGCTCGAGTCTCAAAAGACTTGGAAGTAAAATGACACCAAGCACTTTGAGCTGCTTCAAGTAAACCATTTGGCTCGACGCTCTCAAAAACAAGCAGGCGGTACCCGTACCGAACTTTCCCTTACCATTTTCCTTCCGGGAGTCTTGAAACCTTACCATATTTACAACTAAAAATACGTCAACTACAATACCATGGTGTTAGATGACCATGGCCTTCCCTTGGCAACGCACACCACCCCCCCCGGCCCCGTTTCCGGCCTTGCCATTGGGCCGCATCCCTGCGCCAATGGCAAACGCCAGTTTCTGAACTTGTGGGAAATGCCAACCACCGCCAAGGCAGGCTACTCCTCAGAGTGAAGGGAGGCCTCAATGAAGCAACCTCATGATTAAAATACAGCAACGGATCTGCAAGAAAGCAAAGAGTTACAAAGCAAAACCCCGAATCCACGGTTTCAATGTCATTTGCCCCTTAACAGAAAACCGGACACCTTTCCAAGAATATAGTCTGCCATAAGTGTGCCCATTGAGCTAGTGAGCAAAAGCAGAGGTGTTGCCGCACGAGGACACGCATGGCAAATCGCTCGATCAAATGACAAACTCTCGAAACAGCGTGGCTACACCACTCAAATTCATGGCGAAAGTCCTAATAATAATCAAACCCGGCATTAAAATGGTCGTAATCCCAGAACCATGTTTCAAGAAGTAAGAAGGCGGGTATCCGCAGCTATTTATGGTTGGGAGTATCCCGTACTCACCTGCAGCTACCCAAGTTTTGAGGGGGGGGGGCGGTCCGGTTGCACAGTTGCCAGCTGAGGTGCACTCCCAGCTCATGAGAAACAACGGAAAGTCCGTCTTGTCCAATACCATCTTCCAATTGCAGTAGTGATAGATTGCCTGTACCAGCCAGGAAAACACACCATATTCTGAGGCAAATGGAAGGAACAAACAGCCAAGTACAAGCGCGGATGGAAACAACACAATGCACCAGGTGATGGAGGTGGTATATGAACTGTTCAATTCCGGTTGCATCCAGGCCTCAGGATTTTGCCCATGAGGAATCCCTTACGTATGGGCCTTCATCGGTGAGCTTGTTTTACCATCGCTGAGCTTAGTTCATTTGTTTTGCCCAGTTTCATAAGGGTTGAAGACCCGGTGGCGCACAGAATAGTATACAAAGAGCGGCAAAATGGCACAACAAGGTGAGCTGGACTACTGGGAACTAACATGTAACACGAACTTCCTTCTACAAAAGGAACAGAACAAGTGCCTGTAGACAACTAGAATTCCTTTTTGTGACACAACTGGGAACAGGGGTGAACCACACCGACGACTCTTTTTGACACCAAAATGGGATTCCTATCCCAAGAAACAACTCGACCACGGTAAACGCGGGATTCCCTGAATGTCTGGGCGGCTCACCTCATATTCCGGAGAGCTCGCCGCTCCCATACACGCCCCAGCAAAAAGGACGGCTCGCTCTGTTCACCTTGCACCTCTTGCACCTCTGATCAGAAGGCCATCACCAAATGACAAAATGCACGACTTGCTTTTTGGAAATGCATTGCAGCCAAAGACCTGGCTGCGGAATATCGCTGTACAGACAAGGCCTTGGCCATCCATGCAACGACTTGCATGTGGAACGCTGGCTGTGATCGTCGGGCTCCGCCTTTAGTTTAGGGAACATCGCAATCCTGTTTGGATGCGACGCCTGAGGGGTCAACTCTTGGGCGACAGTCTTCCATCAAGAGGAGACTCATTCTCTGGGCCAAACAGTGTTGTTTTGGTTTTTTTTCAGCCAAGGGGGCATACTGGTGTTCTTTTTTTCAGGGGACCCTCCAAAATGGTGGTTTTCCTTGCAAAAATCGAAAGAGGCGTCCCCTCCAAAAGGGAACCACACCCATGTGGGGGTACGGTACTGTCTCTTAGTCCAATGCGATGCTGGATCGATTCTTGAGCCATCAGTCATGAGCACAAATGCCACGATGAAAACTCCTACTCTGCGGCTCGTGGTCACGGTTCCGTCAGTAAGAACCTGGTTATCCTTCGCACCACGTAACATGGAACCTGACGCTCGATATGGACCCGGTCCCTTTAAAAGGAGAATGGTCCAAGCCAGGACCCCCCTGAACGTCAGGTGCCATGTTAATTGGTGGGAGGGTATCTAAACCCCCATAAAGCGTCAATGGCCATTCCTAACCCAAGGCAAGCAGTTCTGTCGATATCTATCTCCTTGTAACTCTCCCCATAACCCCGAAATTCCTAGTCACTTGCCTGGTCAACAAACTTCACTTCACTTGTCATATTTGCTCTGTCGAATGGAACTAAAAACATTCGAACTCGGCAAAGGTGCCTCGAGAAATCATCCTTATTCACTTCTGGTCATGTTTGAAAGTTTACACATAGCAACAAATGCAGAGCCTGGCGCGGTCTGCCAGACCCAATTTCGCAGTTCCTCGTGCTTACTAAGCAGTTGGTTGCAAGGGAATGTCACGTTGGTTGCTGTAACGACCCCTCTGCAAAAAGTAAATAGCCTTTTGTGGGTTCAATGGAAAATCCGACCTGTTTCAACCAAAAAGTTAAAGTCCAAGATCTGTTACCAAATAGCAACAAAGACACACAGGTTCGAAACACACAAAACACATGTTGACCTCAAGGGTTCCCACTAAAAGGGGGCACCCTCCCATCAAAATCAAGCAGGGGTTTATTAATCCGAGGTCAACATTAGCGGTTCAAATATGATTGAACAGGTGACAGGTGGGTGGATACTATGTTTGACCAGATGGCAAGGTGGCTCAACCTGCAAAATGGCTCCTGTTTAAAGGGAGCAGCTCAACATTAAGAGCTAGCTCACGACAATCTGTCGATCTCCACCCAGTGTGCCAAAATGTGGGGGCCCTTTCTGTGACGCCAAGGTTGCTGCTTTCCTTGACTACTTGTTCGCTTCCGGGGATTCAAAAAAGCTGGCCCTAAACAGTTTGCCACACCCCCTTCCAGTCAATGCACGGCACTCCAGTGAGAAACTGCCGCCGAGGGAGTAGCCGTGGGTGGGAATAATGCCTCTCGGACATACAGAAACCCCATACAGCGTCCCAGAGTTTTTCCTACTGAAGAGGCTTTCACCTGAACCGCAAGTTAACCTGAATCGCTGACTGACCTGACTTGCGATTCACCGCACGGCAACCATGGTGGCATGCTCTCATGAGGGGGGGCGGAATATGCTCCGAAAGGTTTGAAGGGTTGCAGGTACCAAAGCGTAACCAAGAAAGGCTCATACCAATGCCCTGGATGGCAATGACCTCTCTGACTGCTTGCTTCGAGTCTCTTTGGTTCTCTCATGCTCTTTCTTGACCCACATTTTGGGCGGCTCGGCTTGTTGAGAGTTGGTACCTCTATTTGCGGTAGACCAAAAGGAACACCGATGCCATTTAGGGACCGGCAAAAGCGACTCACCCACATGTTCGCATACGTTTTGGGATACACAACTCAGATGTTCCGATTCGGTTCCACTTTTAGCACCTCCCCAAAAAAAACAACATGACATATGAGAGGAGGAGACCTCAGCACTTGCCTGGCAACCCCTGCGGCCTTTTGTCAGCTGCTTGCCAGGAGTTCAGAGATGGCGCGTTCATATCCTGCGTCCGGGCAGACGCGCGAATTCTGGCATCATTGATACCCACTTGTTGTGAGGCGCTCCAAAAGGGTCTCCTTTTGTTGAGTCTGTATTTGCCATCCATTCTTTGGGGTGCCCGTGAAGTCAAAAGCAAGCTTGACCAACCACAGTGCCTTGCTGCCACCCTACTCATTGATCGCGCTCTGCAGCAACCAACTCCTCAATCTGGATACCATTGTGGGTCTGACAATCCAAAAACGGAATCATGAAAAACCAACGGGTGCAGAGGGTCCATTTGCCTTCTGAGAAAGATTTGACCCCTTTGTGGCTGGTAGGTGCATCCTCAGGTCCTTGGACCCTCGGGGGCGTTTCAAAACACGCAACAAACACTCAGTTGCCCGAAGGACAGGACCCGGAACCCAAACCGTTCCTGTTGTCATTGGGTGATTTTGGGTATGTTTTGTTTGGGGGTACCTTTTTTGGGTGTGTTTACATTACAAACTGTACAAGAACCCCCCTTGGAAACTGACCAATTTTGGATTCCCCCATGCTGAGACGAGCCCATTTGCCCGTTCTTGTTCATGCATTTCCAGCCTCCAAATTTCGCCTCTCACCCACCATGCGATCAATTCCACGCAACCCCCAGCGAGGCTTGCTGCCGCCGTGGCCTTCGCTGGAAAGAGCTTGGCCCCCATCCAGGCGCTGCAAGTCCCTGTCCTGACCAACGGCCCGAGCGGGCGATTTGGTTTCAACGCGGGCGGGGTTCGCTTCAACGTGGGGGGTGAGAGATCAACTATCCATTTAGGGCCCCCAGTTTTGACCATGGGTAACGTTTGTCATATTGAAACATTGCAACATTGCACATTTAGTGGTTAGCAACGTCCAAACAATTTGCACGAGATGAAACAAATGGGGGGTGGATGGGTAACTGTTCACATGTGGTTGAAATATAATGTCTTTAGTGTTTTTTTCCCAATGGGCATCTCATGCAAAGGATGTTTTGATCAACCCCCACGTGTTGCAACTACATTATCTGCGATGATCGTCCGCTGGAAAACCACATGCGAATACAACTCCAGTCGGAGAGCGCCCTCCATGTGTTCATAGCCTAAGGGGCTTGCCTGCGTGCTCTTTGTATTGCCGAACAAGTGAAACATTGTACCCCTTGTTTCCCTTGAACACAGAAAGCGAAAACATATTGTATAGGGAAAGGTCGTTTGCTGAGAGCATGGTGCACCTCCGCTGAGTTGTCAAGACCTATAAGTTTACCCATCTGCTTCACCATGTTTAAAGCGAACACTTACAGGGAGAACAACACCCCCCCAGAACGTCGTTTTTCTATGTTGACACCTAATTGCCATGGTTTCTCAAACTTGAAGATCCTTCTAATCCTCCCTCCAGAGGGAGAGGTTAGTTCAGGACCCAATTCCATTTATCTAGTCTTCCCAATCCAGAAATGTTCCACACATGGATTCCAGGGGTCCCATCTTTGAGGCGTGGGGATCCCCTCTCGGAGTTTGAAGTTGCCATGGCGCTCTCTCGGCCAGTCCACAGCTTCCACGATGCGGGCATCCCCCGCACTGCAGGCCTGCGGCGCGAGCCGGTGCCGTTGCCCCGAAATCACCCTCGCTAATCCAAGTCCGAATATTCAACTTAGGCCAGGGGAGTTTCTTCTATATGTGTTTCAATTAATTTTGACCCTATAAAAAAATGAATGCGGAACATACTTGAGGGTCAAATGATGTTTGACCCTGAAACAACCAGTGAGACACGGGAATTTTGTTTGGTCACTGGATTTCCGGTCAAAAGCTGATGAATTGACTGGTGTCCAGTAAAACTGCCACGGTTGGACATTCCAAAAAGTCAAACGGAGGAAACTCTGTGCAATGGGTCCAAAAGCGCCCTTTGGACAGCATTTTGGAGATTGCCCGACTTTTGAGGCTCCAACTCTGTACAGCCATACATAGGCTTGTGATTTTGGAAGGGATCTTTCTCAGGTTGGTTTGAATGGAAGCCAAAACGCGCATCACCATTTGGCAACCAGTGACAAATGCAAAGAATCAAATGGGTTTCAATTGGGCCTGTCTGGTTTGGGTGTACCCCCTTTTTGGGTGAAAAGGGAAACCACACGTTTCACAGAGAATTGGGACCCAGAAACTGCAAACCAAACATGAAACTCCACTACGTACCCCAATGGACATGCAAACCCAATTGCTGACTTCGCTGGTTCGCAACAATTGCAATAGTGTAGCAATGGCGGAGCAATCTGCTTGGAGCACCACCTTCTGGCCTGCTGAGTTGACTTGACTTCGGCTTGACACCTGCACTATTGGAATGTCGAAGTGAGTGGATTGGCCAGGAAAAAAAACAACAAAACACACTTAGTCTTTGCAACATTTTGCAACTAAAAGTGTCTCCCAGAAAGTATCAAGCCGAGGAACTCGGGGAGTGATATGAAGAAAACAAACCACATCTTCCATTTGCGAATACGTCCCTGAAAAATAAGACTACTTCCAGTAGTGAAATCGCTTCCACTTAACACCAACAGAATAATATATAAACACATATTCTGGAAGGAGACCATTGCTCACATGCCAAGCAAACGTCTTGAATTGTTTGGGAGCCCGCAGGAAGGGCACTCATAATCCTAACTTGAGATCTCCTACTGGAGGTTTAGCTGAACATTTTATGACCCAAAGGCTCCTGGGGCTTATGGAAGACCCAGACCCTCCATTGGACAGGTGTTTGGGGTCTTAAAACCTGGAGGTGAAATCGGGCTCGTAGCGCAAATGGAAATTTGCCACGAGGGCACAACGATCCCAGGCGCTCAACTTGGTGGGGAAAAGGTTGCAAGACGTGACGGTGTCCTTTTGGTCCAACATGGATGAACTTCCCCTGGTAAATGGTGTATAAAACAAACATGAAAACCAGAACCCACCTATGTTCAACCAAACTAACCGAAAAAGGACACCTATTCCTACGACCATGGACCATGTTAAGTTGTTCCCGGTTTCAGAGGGTTCCAGGGCGGTTGGGGATACCTCTGGGGCTTACCGCGGCCAACGACTACGCCTGCCTCGGTTCAACCACGTTAACTGTCTTCAAAGTTGAACAGAGAACTCTCAAGCACAAAGAAGGATTATCCCTAAGCCCAGAACCTTCTGAACCCTCCTGAAAAGTGCCCTGGGGAGTATTGGCGGGGTCTTGAACATCATCCATGGTTTAGGTATGTTTCATATCTGACCAACTCTTCAAATATATGATATAGTTGTGGTTTGATAAACACAACATCATGTTCCGCCAGAAACTGGAACCAAGTCAGGCCTTCAGGGGAAAATCCGTCCGAACAACAAGAAAGTCCAAGGCTGGCGCAGTCCATCCTCGGCCCAGCATGTAGCGCCTCAAGTGGATCGGTGGTCTTAAGAACACACACCGTTTGTGGATCCTTGAGATGGGCGGCTCCTTATATTTTTCAAGAGACTCCCGCCCCAAAAATGTTTAACGGGTTTTCATTTTGGGTTTTCTTTCACACCACACAAAAAGGGGGCACCCTCAAGCCCCCACGGGAATGAATCAGAGATGAGTCAGGGGTAATCAAGACATCAGTCGCGCTTTGGTGCACAGGGGTTGCGCCAACAAGGGTTTGCCCTTTGAGCCCCTTCAAGGAAAACAAATTGAAAGGCGAGGGCTCACCTCTCGCCTTCGCCGAACGCCGCCAGTCAACAGATATGCGCTCAAGACGCGCAGCTTGTGAACGTCACGCACATGCCTTTTGGGAGAAAATTACATTGTGTTCATCTGAATATTTGCATTTGATTTAGGCGAGCAATGAACTGACACATTCTCCTCGACGCTTAAGATGTCCGTGCGCCAAGTCAACATGAAGTTAAATGAAGTGCCATGATTCCTCAAGCTCGAACAGTGGCTCATCCTGTTGCTCACTTGCCCAAAGCCTCTAAAAATTGAGGTTTGCCTTGGGACATGACTCAATGCAGGCCACAACTGCAAGCAATCCAGCTCCCCGCAATGACTGCGACTTTCCCTGTCCAATTCCCCATGACCCCTGGACCTTCCACTGCTCGAACACACAGTTTGCTCAAGCAAGCAAGGTCAAATGTGTGCGCAAACGAAGCAGGAGGAGGGTGATGGAGCAGGCGAACAGGCTGGATTTGAGCACCAATGGCAGGTAAAGGGAACTAAACGAGTATCCGACTGTGATGCCCGCCGGAAACCTTCGAAATGACTACGCTTTTGGCTCTACCAACGTGGCTGTGAAGGTGTATACAGGCCTTACTATGACCTATAGGACGCCAAGTAGTATATACAGGCCTGACAGCAAGTAGGAAAAACACATACGAAAACGGCCAAGAAATTGTTCGGGGTTGCCAAACTGAGTTTGCCATCCCAGGCGCATGTAGTCACAGCGTGCCAGGGCATAGTGGGCCAACAGCGTGGTCAAGGGAAAGTCCTCAGATGGCACGAGGGCGAGAGATTGGTCGTAACCCCCACCCAAAATCCGCCGCCAGTCGAGCGTGTAGATGGCAGTCCGCAACTTGGTCTTCCTTCGGATCTCTTATCAAAGCCGAAGGCTTTTGGGGCTGCCATTTTTGGGCATGGTGTGCTGGGTGTCCAAAACCCTGTAATTTTCCAGTGTTTTCGGGGCTGGCGTGCTAAAAATATCCGGACGCGCAGGAGCTGCATCCCCAGCATCATCAGGATTACCTTGCTGCTATGAATTTGTCTCTTTTTTTGCAGATACTAATGGTGTTTTGCTGTTTCAAGCAGTGTTGGAATCGGCCTGTTAGGGGTCTGGGTGGGGCCAAGTGCAGTGATACGTTCATCGAGGAACTGTTTGAATTTGCAAAAACATATTTTTTGCAATTCCCCACCTGAACGGCGCAGTTACTGCAAAACATCCCCTGCATTATCGTGTTTTTGGAAGTCTAGTTCCAGGGTTGAGGGGGGTTGCTAGTATCTGCGTTTGATTATTGTTTTTTGGAAATATCAACAAAATCCTGTTGTTTTTTTTTTTTTTTTTAAACCTTTTTGTGGCCAGCCGGCTGCATTCCCAGCATTCCATGAAAAAAGAAACAAGGTCTTAAAATCCCTTGCACCCCACTAGCGTCGGCGGATCGCGTAGCGATTTCAATAAGCATGGGCGATATCCCGCATTCGGACCCCTTCTGGAAACCTCCCTGCAAACTACTCCGAACCACTCCTGAGCCTGGCCAAAGACGACCCAAAATCCAGCCAGCTCGGAGAAAAGGTACCAAAACAGGCAACCCCCTAATGCATTCCAAAGACCGTTCAAAAAATCCCAGAAACGACACGGACAGAAGGCTCCAAAAGGAGCTATATGACTCCCCAGTCAACGACCTGGATTCGCCCAAATCCAAACGTCAATAGGAGCGAGTACATGCAGAGCGGGTATTTCAGAGTTAGAAACCCTTTCTCAAAGGTGTCGCAAGGGAAGCAAAAAGGAAAGCAAGGGAAACCGCGCTCCCGCTGAACCCTCCTCCCAGTCATGCGTGCTGGGCGCCCCTGACACCGCCGGTGGCAAACTCATCGAAGGAGTTCATCAGTTGCGCCTCAAAGAGTGTGACAGGGTCCCCTGGTTCCGGACCTTCGGGGACCCCCACCTCCCCCGTCCATCCTTGTTGTCGGTCAATGTTCAAAGGGAAACACACCCAAACGACATGAAGATAGTACTTTTGGAGCAATCCTCAACGAAAAGACATTTGATTGACCAAGCTACACTGCAATGATAACAAGCACCAGGTCAATCCAACTGCGCGAGCATCTGGCCCAGACACTCAGCCCAACCATCGGCGGAGGCTTACAAGTTATCTGGGGCCGTTTCCCGAAACTCACCTGGCCGGGGAGACTAAACCTAGGGACGTGGACAAACCACATAGGACCTAGGAAAAATGCCCCTTCCTCGAGAAACCTCCATCCGCCGATGTTGCGGAGGCCACTCTACCGCCAGGGCAGTGCAAGGACTGGGCACCGGGACGTGGTAGAACTCTAGCAGCTCCCTCTCCACGGCCAAGAGATCCATCCGCAGGTCCGGGAACAAAAAGTTCGCGAGGTCCACCTCAGGCAAGCCAAGCCGGGTGTGACCCCAGGGGCTGGTAAAGGGATTTATGTCCACCCATAAAATGGGCGCCCCTTTTGACGCACCCATATGTGCCCAGTAGACTTGGTTAGAAAACATGCTGACTATTAGTCTACAGTCTGTGTCCTGACAAATAGTTAGATTGTGCGTGCACCAACAACCAACTATTAGCTAGATTTCTAGCCATTAGTTTGCTTGATTAAATAGACTTAACACAACAAGTCTATTTGGACAAAAGGCGTTCAATTTCTATTGAAAATTGTTTTGAGATTTCCTTGCAATCTCGTTCTCACTACTCTCATTTCAATGTGTGCAAGCTTGCACGTTGATGTGTCAAGTCGGCCGTGAATGGCTGAAAGGTTTTCAGACACACCCATATCACTTGAACTCAGTTTCGAGAAGACACATGGAAAACAAAAGGGAGAGTAAATAGAAAGCTGCACGTAGGCTAGATCTTTGACGGGATTCACTTGAGAGATGTCTGAAAAATCACTTAAGAGACGTTTGCAAGGAATCACTTGAGACATGTTAGAGGAGCTTTACCCTTGGGAATTGATTCTACCTGGGGTCAAGCACAAAGGCCGCAAGCAGCTTCGTTTCTTGCGTGCGGACCCTGCCCCTTCAACATCACTGCCTAAGAAGGCCGCATAAGTTGCTTGCCAATATGGATTCATGTTCTTGAGGAAGCAACACATGTTTGTTTTCCGGATCATTCCAAGACCTGATCTCGGACTGTTTCACAGAACAAACTATTTGTCCGACTAGTCGTTCTGTCTATCAGGTAGCTATCCGCAAACCATTGACGAATGATACTGGTAAGGAATTTGTCTAACCGGATCTGTTGGGTGGCTCAACATGAGGAAAGCCTCAAGACGGTCGGTGTTTTCTGGCTTGCCGTTAAAACCAACCCAAACGGATCTTTTGCTGATCCTTTTTGTGGGAAACATATTCCACCCCTCCATCATTCTTGCAAACAAACCCATTATTGTGGCATTATGGCTGACGGCAACCCTCGCACCATGCAGGGTTGCGCGGTTCAAAGCCCTCCTGAAACGTGCTTGAGCACCAATGTTCTCCCGGAAACTGCTCCCCGCTTACAGTTTCTTTGTCCAGCGCGTTGCGGTTCAAACAACCCTCCAAGTTTCGTGCGGGCAATCCCTCCCCCCCCAAAAGAAAACACAAAATGCAACAGTAGTTGCGTTGCAATTAGCCCCCCCCGTCCCATTTCAATTTGTTGAGGGGAGGTGATGGCGAACGGTGCACCCGTCCCCTTCAAATCACAAACTTTCCTCCTCATGAAGCATCCTTGGGCTGCTTTCTGGTGCGAAAGATCGATCACCTGTTGCAGGTCCAAAACGTCGATTCGGTCACAAAGAGGGCCTCTCTCTCCGAGCCTCTGCTTCTGCTCCCCCCAAATTCTTGACAGTGATCTATTTCCCCGACATAAGACCAATCTATTGGGAGGACGCTTAGGGAAGGGGACAGTTGGGCTTGGAATCATACGCTGAAACAGGGTCAGGTTTGGATACACCCCAACCCTTTGCAACAGGATCCTCTACATCACTTCCCAATTTGCCCGAATGGGTGTGCTTCAAATAGAGCGGAGCCACAGATTGAGGTTCTCCTCTTGCTGTCCCCTGAAACTTTACCTGTTTCCCGTCATTGCGTGACCATCAAATTTATTCGTGAGTGTTTCCTATTTAAGCAACAAAAAGGCACTCACATGTGCCACATGGGATCTATTTGGGGGTTGTCCTATATTCCTTTTCCCGGGATTGGGCCCTTGGGCCGCACTTGCGCGGCACTTGCGCGGACTTGCGCGCACTGTGACGCGGAAACTCGGCTTCGTTGACCTCTGCTTGCAAAGTTTTCGTGTGGATTGCGCGCAAGCTTTTCTAAGCAGTGTATTTGTCGTTGACACAGCAACCCCAATCTTCTCGCTGAGGTCGCTCCCAGCAATTCTATCCAGCAACATACTCTTGACCCAACAGAAAGGACAGCAGGCTCTGCCACACAGCTTGGACACAGCCGGAAAGAAGGAAAGTGCATGTTGCGGCTGCCTGTCCATTGCTTGAACCGCGCCGCTAAGGACATCCGAGACAGCCTATGGCTACATGTCTTGCTGAGGCTTCCCGTGCTTGCGCGCAACTTGCGCGGCTTGAGCGGATTTTGTCGTGTCAGTTGCTGATTGTTGAAGTCATGACCGCAGAAGCTTTGGCTTCGTTTGGCGTCTGACTGAAGAAACGCCGCACCTTTGCAAACAAGCTTGTGACCTACACATGACCCAAGCAACATTCGAAAAGCACAAGTACAGTATAACAAAACAAAAAATATCACCGAAGCTAGGCAACATCAGTACATGAAACCCTTCAAACTGTAACCTTGCGCGTCCCTTGGGCCGCACTTGCGCGCTCCTGGCGCGCACACAGCTTTTGACAACTTTTACTTCTCCTCGTTCGGCGATAATTAAAACCGAAGACTGGGGTTTTAGGACGGCCCTCATTTAAACAACAAAAAGGACATGGGATTTGTGGATTTGAAGGACACCGTCAGGACTGGCGTCGTCTTCCCTTTCGATCAAAGGCACCGCCACGAAGCCCGGCCCGGAGAACTCGAAGTCCAGCGCCGCCGCCTCGAAGCCGCCCTCCGCCTCGAAGCGGACCCGAGCGCTTGGGTTGGGTTGGGCTCAAATTCGGGAAATCCGCCGCCCCCCCAAAAAAAAGAGAGAAGAAAGTGGGCTTCCTTGGGAATTGCGGGTGAAACAGCCCAAAGGGTAGCTCAAAGCCTTCTTGGTCGCGTCTTGTCACGGCTTTGTCGGACCATTGACTCTGGGCAATGGACCGCTGTTTCAAGGCACAACTCACTTCCGCATGAGTGGATTGGCCCAACAAGTATCCTAACTTTTGTTTACCGCCAAAACGGTTTTTCCCAAAACTTTTAAAGCCCAGGAAGTCAGAAGGTGAGAAAAAGGGGGAACCCATGAATGGTGGTTCTCATTCTGGTTTCCCTTCAAAACCCCTGACACAGAAGTCAGAAAGGAGGACACCAAGCGAACCGGAGATTCGCTGCGAAGCTTTCTCGAGCCGCGCCCCGCGCCTCGCGCAGAAAGAAGTTGGCGGTCTTGAAGTCCCCGTGAAGCCTAGCAACCGAAGCCGCTTGGATACGCTGTCTCCCACCTGGGGTTGTGAACCAAAAAACACATGTCTCTACAACTGTCCCCCAAACGGGTTTCAGTTTGTGTTGTTGGCTTTTGTTTTGTGTTTTCTCTATAGCTATGGTTTTTTGTTATCTTTGCGTTTTGCAGGGGTTTCACTCTGCTTGGGGGTTAAATACAGACTCCCACCTAAGAGGTAGAGGAAACGGATCTTCCAAAGGTTTTCCCACAGGTGCCAACATAGGGGGGGAAGGGTACATGGGTTTGTGTCAACATCGGGGGACCAAACACAAATGATGGGTTTCCTGGTGGTGTGTATGTTCCTCTCATAACTCAAAGAAAGGTACCCGTAAAAATATATAATATTGTTGCACCCGGAGTGAGAAGAACCAGCCCCTTTTGGTGGGAATCCGGATCATTTTTGCGAGCAGCCCCCGATTCCTTTTGGGATATGTTGGTGTTTCTCAGAAGGGATATCTTTCGGTCTGGCTGGGGAAACCGAGGAAGCCACCTCGAGGAGTTGGTCCCTAATTTGATTGAACCACCCAAGTTTTTTTGAGGGTATCGTTCTTTTTTTCTTGTGGTGGTCGTTTTAAAGGAGCACCAATGATAAACTAGCCACCATTTGTGAGGCCCCTTGAAAACAAACACACCCATGAGTCATAGAGGGAACCGTCCAACATGGATTTCTTTACACCAACCTGCAAATGCTGCGGCAGAAACCTACTGGTGACCGGAGGCACGTCCCACGTCAGTGAATTGGAGCTTCTTGAAACCGAATCGCAGAGGTACACCAACGAGGGGGAACGAGCAAAGGTTGAGCCCCCCAAAGCACCATTGGCCCCTCTATTCATTGGGTCAGGAACTAGGACCTCAAGGGGCACTGGGCGCAAGATGCGGGTAGATCCTTCGCGGGTTCATTTGTGAACCCAGGTCTAATCTGAGGGCCGAGTCGGTTCACACCAAGCCAACCATGGTGTACGGAACCATGGCGAACCCCTCAGATGCCCATTCGCCCGTGGGCAACAAGGGGCATCTTTTTTTGGCTGGTTGAGGTTAAAGGGGACCCCTTCCCAAAAAAAAGCAAGAACAAAAGAGCGGAAGCCACTGAAGTCCGAGTCCAAACCAGGAGGTTCCCTGAACTTGGGGCCAGCGACAAAACGTTCGATCCAAGTCGGTGGCGGAGTCTCAGGCTGAGTGATCCTCTGATTTTTGTTTCAAGTCCTCCACCCAAATCCACCAGAATCCACCGACACCCACCAAAATCCTGGGTTCAAGAAGGCTGCCACGGGGAAAATTTCGCCAGGCACGTAGACGCCCACCAAAGACCCAGGGTCTTGGTAAACTTCATAGCAGACAAACCTGCCAAACACCGGTTGGCAACACACCCAAGGACCAGGAGTTGGCGAAGCCGAAGCGCGGCGGATAGGACTACCTTCCCTCATAGAGTGCGGGAGAGACAAATTTGGGCCGACAAGAGGGATGACGGATATGGGTCAAAACATGCCGGGGAAGTTTGAGGGAAGATACATTTGACCCACGGTCAACTTTCAGCCATACACTTTACGCGCATCGCGTTGTCAGGGGCAAAAAAGTAAGATGGTACTGAATGTGCGGTCCAGAAGGAGCTCTCAATTTTGAGCACCCCTCTTGAACCATCAACAAAAGCAAACACGAAATCAACAGGGACTGGCTACTGCTACCCAAGTGATCTTTGCCCAAAAGACATTGATTTGGGTTTCTTTCACCATGATTGCAAAGGTCTACTAAGCATATCCCCAACAGCCGAACCACCCACTAAAGAAGCCCAAAGGCCCAAAGAGGTTCTGGGCGCTGCTCAAGTGTCTTTTGGGGTGTCAAAAAGTAGTTGCCTCCCACCCTTCCGCGGATGAAAACAAACAACACACAAGTTGCTTCAAACCAGACAATTATAAGAGGCCACCTCCATACGGAATCTGCCATATTTTTCTGCCAACTAGGGTAGCGTGTTTGGGAGGACCCTTCATTGGCGGATAGTCACCTCACATTTCCAGTTCTTAGGGGCGATCCTGAGGGCCCAAGTATCTAAAACACCTGAGACACTCAAAAGTAGGGCCACAAAAGAAAGGTCGTGGCCCCTTTTTTGAGGGCATGGACAGTCCAGGAATGTGGGGAATATCACTTTTGAAAACTGGGGTTGATTCTCTTGGGGTCAACATCATACCCTCAATCTACCCATCATCCACGTGCCCCCCCCCAAAAATAAAAATAAAAGAAGGAGTGATTTGTTGTTCTTTATGAAAGTTGATTTGGGTGTCAACATTTTTTTTTTTTACTTGGGTCGGCTTGACCCATTGCCTGTGGCTCCACGCAGGCTTCGGTTTCGCACAAAGCCCCGGCCCTTTCGCAGCCTCGGACATGAGGGTGGAGCCGACGGTCTCCAGGCAAAGGTTTTCATTGAAGGTTCCCTCGAAGGGAAACCAGCCCTAAGGGTCCTGGGGCTTCGTATACCCAGAAAAGTGCGTACCACACCCCAAGTTGCTTTGTCTCAAAACAAGTGTTTTGGAGCCCCAAAATCCATCTGGACCCTTAGGGAGGAAAACATAACCCCCATGTTTCGGGCGTCCGAAACGACAGAGTAAATCCCGGATTAAACCGCTCATTGATGTAAACGAAAAGGTTTAGTGGGAATCCGGGTTGTTGAGACCCCCCCTATGAATAGGACGCGTTGATTCATCTGAGGTTCACATTACAATGTTGACCCATGTTTGGCCCAAGTTCATGCACGTCCAACCCATTTTGATCGATTCTTGGCCTCCTCAGAAGGCAAGGTACATGGGCCTGCGTTTGTTTGTTCAGTTTCTCTTTCAGATTTTGGTTCCAACAGGGCGTGCCGTCAACAGAAGACACCTTTGTCCGTTTCTTCAGTTTCGCTTGAGCCGGCTAACATGAAGAAAAACAACCAGTCAGGGATTATTTTCTTCTCCCAGGCCAAACGGGTAAAGGGCACCTCTTTTGTTGTAGTTCCGCCACATTGCTCCCCCCCCTTATTGGAGTGAATTAAAGCCCACATCCCGGCCGAAGTAAAGGGGACCTTCCGCAAAAAGGAGTGAACGTAAGCAACCTGGGGGTTTGGGACAGCTTTGCGAATCTGGTTGTTTGGGTCAAGGAATATCGTGAAGTGTGGATGCATCCAGCATTTATGTTGCCAAAAGGAGGTGGATGACGGCTAAAAAACGGATCATCTTGCTGGTGCTCAGCAATTCGAAGGAATGACCCCCCAAAAAAATCATTCATAGGTTATGGTGTCCTTTACTTCCATTTGCTTGAGCCGCGAAAATGAAATCATCATTTCAGCCAATGGAAGTTTTCCAAAAAGACGGTTCGGCCCCAGCTAAAACAAAAAACACATTTCAGCAACTGGATCTGATTAAGTCGGAATCCCCGTTTCGGTTCGTTCCATTTGGGTGTGGCTCAAAGTCAAAGAGCTAGGGCCAACCGCAGGTTTTTGTTGTTCCATGTATCAAGGTGCCATTATGGGAAACATTTATGTAAGCCATTTCTCCAATTCCCTGCGCTATACCCACAGATCCAGGTTCATTCCCCAGGTTCACTCGGTTCATTCCATTCCCTCGCCTGCCGCTAATCCGCAGCCACACCTACTGTCCGAGGCGCGCGGCGTCCAGCGGTCGCGCTGCGGCGCTGAGCCTGGGCCTCGCCGTGGAAATTGCCGTGGGGCAGACGTAGGCGACCAGCTTTCGTTGATTTGTGTTGCTCGATTTCAAAAGAAAAACAATCTAGAGTCTCTAGGCGATTTACGTGCCTTCTTCTGATCTTACTCTCTTTTGTTGGCTAGAAAATATTAGAGATCTCCAGCGTTCTTCTCACTGACTTAAAACAGCTTTGATTCTGGCTGAAAAGCTTGAGACCTCTAGGTTTTACAGGCCTTCCTTTCCGGCTGATGGCTTGCCTGGGGAAGCTCCAGGTTGATTTCTTGATGCTCGCTCGATTGGAATGGGGGCCTCTGGCCCAGATCGGGTCTGAGATTCGGCGTGATCCACGAGGCTGCCTCAAACAAAACCACTCATGAACCCTCAGTTCTTCAGTGACCCTGGAAAAAAATGGAACCCTTTTGGCAAAGTTTCCATTTTTAGTGGGGCCATCCCAAAAGGGAAAAAGGGTTCCACTAAACAACTGAGAACCTGAAGCTTGGCTTCTTTTCGTCTGGGTGTTCCCCTTATTTGTGCAATCAGGTGACATACCTAGCCTGGAACACCCTGCTCCGGATACTTGGGGTTGGGCTGTTGAGGGATGAACGTGGAACAAACAAAATCGGGACCCAACGAAAAGACCCACGGTGGAATGACCTAAAGCACGGCGGATCTTCAAATGAATTCCTCCAGTTGCGTTTCCCCTGGAAATGTGAGAAAATATATGTCCAGTAGCGATAGATTTCCTAAGAAGGACCGACAGGGGAATCGGAAATAAATCATAGTAGTCTTAACGAAGAGGAAGAATTGAAACCAAGAACAAGACGAGGAGTGTACTTGGGGATGTGAAACACTCCTCTACTGTTCCATCAGCGCATGAAAAAATGTCAAGCTCAAACCCGGAAGTAGGGCTGAGTTATTGAATTGGGCAGGTGTCTTCAGGGGGCGACAACCAAATTGGGACTGCTGTGACTGCACGGCAATGCTTTTGTCGGCCCCGGTGTAGAAAGACCTGCGAATTCCCCGCAAGCGCCCCCTTTGTGAAATAGTCATCCAAGAGCCCGTCAGAGCCTGGATGTGACAGAAGGGCGCCCCGAGGAAAATAATTTCCTTTCTCATGGTCGAATCGTCGAAACACTCACTCAGTGGAACGTGGAGAAATCGGATTGTGGCGAGCTTTTCTGCAAGCCTGTCGCCTGTCTGGCTCACAGGTTGCAACTGCAAACGCTTCGGCCGTCTCCGGAAATGACCGCAATGTCGTTGAGCAAATTCTCTCTCGTCCAGTGTGAATGGAGGTATGCACACAGATGGGCAAAAATTGGGCCCACGCCTTTTCAGTGCCAACGCCCAAATATTCCAGCGCAGCACTTTCTCTCCGCTCGTCTAGCTCGCTGCCTTTGTCCAACCTTAGGAGCCCAAGACTCGAAATACTGCGGATGGGTGCGAAATCCATTTCGCACCAAAGAAACCGCTGGAAATGAGTCGATTCGAGTTGATTCCTTTGTAAATACCAATGAACAAAGGTTTCCCATTGTTCCCCGTTCCCGATTTTGTCCATCCACTGTATGACGGTCTTGAACCCCCAAAGACCTCACTAAGGTCTTGGGCTCCTAGAGAAATTGGGCAAACAAATCCGCTCAAAGTAGGTCGTCGCGGACACCCAAGATTGAAACTACTGTTACCACGTAATGGTAGTGAGAACGTGGAAGTCGAGGATTTGGTTGCAAATTATTGGAATTCAAAATTAAAAATCAGGATTCCCGAAGTGAGCGAATGGGCTGCGTTCCGCTTTCTCCGGAATCGGTAAGCTCATGAACTCAGCAAGCCTCCTGAGCTTGGGCTCACGGCATTCTTAACATCGGGTTGAATTTAGGCCTCCAAACTAACTTGCTGGTGCTCAGTAGGGAATGGTCCAGGGTGCTGGGAATGAACCTAGAGATTCCTTGAAAGGAAACCAGAAGGGATTGTGCATCGGGGTCGTTCCCTCATTCCCTGCTGAGCACCGGCATGCTAAAGAAGGAATTGCCCCACTTGAGGGAGAATTGGGCTGCGAGATGGGCGGATGCCTTCTGACTGCCCTTTGAAGCCCCTCAAGGTTGAATCAACCAACCAACCAAGCAAGCAAGCAACCAAGCAGGCAGGCAGCCAGCTAGCCAGGACATTAAACACATAACCAACCAACCAACCAAGACCAAACAATCAATCAGCCAACCGACCAAACAATCAACCACCAAACAAACAAAAATAATAATAAAACGAACAAGCAAACCAACAAACCAACAAGCCAATAACACAACAAACCAACAAACAAACAAACAAACAAGCAAACCACCAAACCAATAAACAAACAAAGAAACAAAGAAACAACCAAACAAACAAACAAACAAACAAGCAAGCAAGCAAGCAAGCAAGCAAACAAACAAACAAACCAAAAAACCAACCAACAAACCAACAAACCAACAAACCAACCAACCAACCAACCAACCAACAAACAAACAAACCAAACAACCAACCAACAAACAAACAAAACAAAGAAACAATGCAAACAAACAAACAAACAAACAAACAATCAAACAAGCAAGCAAGGAAGCAAGCAACCAACCAGCCAGCCAGCCAGCCAGCCAGCCAACCAGCCAACCAGCCAAACAAACAGTGAACAGACACAAACAAACAATCAATGACAGACAGGCACAAACCGACGAAAAACAAAAACACGTACACGCAAAAACGCCTTCCTCCCATGTGTTCTGAGGTTCCCGGCCCCAAAGTTTTGGCAATCTCCCAGGCGCCGTGCGCCTCCGGCAACTTCGCCCCGTGAAACCGCCGGCTCTCAGCTCCCAGGCCAAGAGTGTAAGCTTTCGTGCGAATGGAACGCCCCCCACAAGAGAAAGGGGAGCGGGGGGAGCCACCCAGGAAAGGAAACCAAAAAGGAAAACCGGCGACAGGTTGGTTTACCAAGGTTCCAGGCGAACCTGGCAATTTTTTTGCGACCAGCGACATGTCATCACAAGTGGAAAAACCAAGTTTCGTCGGAGCCACATGGGAGCAACCGGCTGACTCCTTTCCCGTTCGCCGCCTCCCTCCCCTCCCCTCCCCCTTCAGGGAAGTGGGCCCTAACAGGCCCTCCCACAAACACCCCAGTCTTCGTTCTGCCTTGCCACCGCACAAAAACTCAAAAGGTGCTTCTGGTAAAAACTCAACTGCAATCCGTGCATGTGAACTGTTGAGGCCAAAAGTCGATACCCAAATATTGTTGGTTGGGCGCTCAAGGGCTCGCAGCCCACAAGACCGGCTGGGGATTTGTGCCTAGCTTTGGTAGGTTGCCCCGAACACATGACGTTTTAACAGACTTCCTGGACTTTCTGCGGCACTCCAGGAACATGCCACTCATCCTGCCCAGCGCACACGCTCAACCATTCCATGAGACAATGCGTCTTGCCATAGGCCCTTGGAAGCGCAGGAAATGCTGTTCTTAGCGGGGGCGGTTTGCAAGACAAGGCTCACCGACTATGTGTTGAAACTAGGCTTGCGCAAGCTCCTTTGATGACAAGCAACCACTCAGCATACCCAACCAGGTCCGGTCATGCTCCCCCCCAAAGAGTATACGAAGCCGCTCGAAAAACACTGACATTGTTTTTCATGAGCACACGCAGGCAGAACGAGCGCTCGCAGTTTTCCAAAGCCGAAACCAGCCAAGGCAACTCCCAATTGAAGATCAGCTCGAAACATATTTCACAAACAGCAAGAAGCTGCGAGGTCTCTGCCACATAGTTTTGGACGCCACCTACGGTTACTTTGTGGCCCAGAGTGTGCTCAATTGAACAACCAGCACGTCACCCTCCCTCCAGGAAAGCTAGGAAAACTGGCATCTTTGCAAAACTGGACCACCGACAAGATAGAACCAGACGAGGCAGACCCGACGAAGACTGCTGGGAAGAGGGGGGCTGAAATAGGCCCAGGCAGCGGCCACACAATCCCCAAATCTCACAACTCAACATGATCGCCGCAGTTAGGCCTTGAGAGTTTTGCTGCTGGCGGTCAAAGCCGTGGCCTCGGCGGCCAATGGCCCCAGGCAGACCACAGTCCGAGCGTGACAAGAAGCGACATAGGAAACCCAGGATTTTGCGCCGATGAACACGTAAGTCGCTCGTTCCAGCTGTGCAAGGCGCTGCTAGATGCGCTCTATCCACTACTGCTTGGTTTGACAACTTTTTTTGGGGGGGTATTGGTTGCTGCCTGTCTTCGGAACAACCCTGCATGCCTGAGATCGGTGCAACTGAAGAAAGGCGCTCCTCGTTCTCGCCTTTGTTCAGCCTTGGTCAGAGTGCGAAAGACAGACAGAAGACAAAAGAGAGAAAGAAAAAGAGACAGAGAAAGAGAAAAAGAAAGAGAAAGGCAAAGAGAAAGAGATGCCCAAGCCGGGCCCAAGCCGCGCCAACCGTCTCGAGGCATGACGCGCTCACGGGGACAGCGGGACCAACTCGGCGACATATGTGGGCCAAAAAAGGCCAAAGCTTTCAAGATAGTTTTGCAAAGCGCAAGCTCCATGAAATCAGGGAGTGGGCCAACCCCGCGAGCAGCACGAAGCTGGAAATCGCTTGCCCGCCATTCAGCTTACTAGGGGGCAAGAGGACCTTTTCACCCGGGCGCGTTGGGGTTGCGGCGGCGCCAGCCGCCTGGCGCCAAAAGACCGAGAGTCAGCGAGACTGGCCAGGTCTCCAACCAGCTTGGCACATTGCGCAAATTTGATGGCCGCATCAGGGATCCTTACATTCTACGCCTGCGCGTTGCCTTGTAAATGGAGGTGTCCCTTTAATTTTGTGGAAGAAGCCAGGTTTCAAATTGGCAAAATGTATCTTTTAAGGAGCCCTGCGCGTAGGGCCAAGCCAGCGTCTTGGAAACAGCCAGGGTGCGGCAAGCAATGTGCGCAGGCTGTAGTGGACGGCTCGCAGTGTAACAGGAGAGCGCTTCGCAGCATGATGACAGGAATGCTGTGCGGTCGGGCAATGTTGCCAACAGGTACAAGCATGGGAAGCCTGAACAACAATGCACCAGGAAAGACAACAACCCGAAAACAAGGAATCCCTGCAAAAAAAGGGACCTTCATCATGGATGAGCTCATTTTACCCTCAAATCAGCTCGTCACAGGTTGCCGAGCAAGTGCGCGGTAACACGGGTGAGCAAACAGCTTTGAACAGATGAAGCAAAAGCGTATCCCAGGCCAAAGCACCGGAGAACAGCATGCCGGTTGCATGGGGCTAGGCTTGGGAGGCTAAGGTAGGCATGGCCGGCTTATTCAAAGCCGAGTTGGTCTTTGACCTGCAAGGGGCATAGTTCTTTGTTCAAACGATTGAAAGCAGTCAGCTTGAAGGCCGACCAACCACACAAGGTTTCTCAAGAGCCGCCGTTGCGTTGACCCAGTTAAGGCGTCTGTGCGCGGTGGCAAGGATATTGCACTTGTCTCAAAGCAGGGGGCCCCTTTAAGTCTTCCATTTGCTTGAGCCCACTGAGCTTAAAACATTTCCAGTAGTGAAATCGATTCTCTTTGAAACCATATATTCATTTGAGCAAATGGAAGTTGTTTAAATTGAAGGAAACATGCACAACGGCAACAGCACATTTTGCATGACCTGTTGAGTGATCGATTCTATCGAGCATGTGACTCCAGCACTGCCATGTGGCAGGTGCAGTGCGGTCAGGAAAAGCAGAACACCTAGAACCCATGGACTTTTGGCTTGAGAAGCGATTAATGGCCAATGGGGCTCGGCTGAGTTGAATGCGCCTCCCAGTTTTAAAACAGCCATGAATGTGACGGTCCAGCCTAAAGAACAACACATGACACGGTCTAGCTTGTGAATCAACGTTGCGCACATTTGTTGAACAGGACCCTTCACTATCCACTTAGGTCATCCCCCGCCCCCAGTGCGAGAAGTGTTAGGCTGACAGCAGACGGTCAGAACGCGCGGAATGAGGCTCCCAGCTTTCATCTTGCTAGCTAAAATGAGTCATAATCAGAACCGGGTATAAAAACTGTCGCTCCCCAGAACCATGTATAGAATTGGGAAGGCAGCCGCAGCATTGCCCCTTACAAACATTCATCTACCCGGGTTTGCTTGTGGCTCAAATGACTCGCCACTCTGAAACAAGGAACTTGCAAGAAAGGCCCCCCCCCTCCTCCCCCTCCGCACAACAGTCACAAACACAAGTTCCTGGGGTCGCTTTGCCCCGTGGCCCAACCGCAGGGTAAACATTGTTCAGGTCTTTGCTCCATAATGTTGACCACGGATTAATAAACCCGTCCGATTAGGGGGTGTTCCCTCCTCCAAAAGTGATGACGCCCCACAAACACAAAAACATCCCCCCAATCAAAATATCAGAAGTTCCATTACTTAGTCAACATTCAATATGCTTGTCCCTCCCACCAATTCACATGGAACCGTTCGACGTTCGGGGGTGCCTGTCCCAGAAAATGGTCCAAACCAGGGCCCCCAAAACGAACGTCGAAAGTTTCCATGTGTTCATTGGAGGAAGGGTAACAAAGTCGGAGACGGGCTTCGGAGTGGCTTCTTTGTGAGCGCCACCTGCCCAGCGATGTCTCGAAAAAGGGAAAAGGGGCCCAAACACGGTGGTCTTCCTTCTTCCTCTTGAAGTCTCCATAAAACTAATTAACCCACAAAGGGTACCCTGAGAAGACAAGCCGCAGAGGCCATTGGATGCTTTTCAGAGAGAAACTACACAAACACAAAGGAAGCTTCATCCAAAAAGGACAAAGCACGTTTTCGCGTGCGCCTCCCATCGCCGCCTCCCAAGTTTAGGGACTCACGAAATCTCCTCCGACCCACTGCTCCATGCGCGAGTGGGCAACGCCCAGTAAAGTGACAACCTCAGAATGACCCTCTCCATGCTGGCTGGGTTCCCACCCAGATTTGTAAATTTGAGAAGCCCTATATCTGCAAGCTGAACTACAACTTCCAAAATAGTGAATAAGAGTTGGATCCCAGTAACCTACGGCACGAACATGTCTTAAGGACGCCGAGCGCGCGAGAATCAAACGCAACCCTCCTTCTTTTGTTGGCCCACTGCAGGCTCCGGGCCCCCAGTAGTCCGCACCGGACATGCCGGCGGGAAAGGATCCACCTCCGCGATAGATTCGATGCGAAACTTCTCTGCCTCTGCCCGGGTTGGACCCAGAGAGAAACTCGGTTGCGAAATCTGCTCCCCTGCTAAAAGTTTAACTTTGAGTGTTGCAATAGAAAACCCATTAGTTGGCAACAAGTTAAAGTCCTAACATCCAAGCAAAATGCACCAAAGGAAAGGTTAACCATGGTGAACCAAAAGGCCAAATCCGGCCGCTTCGCTTGCAAGTCAGTGGCAAGTACGCCTCCCCATAAGGGTCCTTTTGGCATCTAGGGAAATGCAGTGCTTACGACTCTGTTGACCCCCCAAACAAATCCATCCTCAAAGGATTCTGGAACATGTCAAAAAGGCACCAAACGATAGCAGCCCCCGCCCCTCCCCGCGAGAAAGCCTTTTGAACCGGGGCCGTCCAGCAAAGCTTGGGGCCAGAAAGCCCTATGGTTGTCAAAAAGCCCCCCCCCCAAAACCCGATTGAGGCTAATAAAGTCCAAGAGTGCTTACTATATTCTGAGGACATTTTTTGATCGAGAACCTAAACCTGTCAAGGTGGCAAGCGATTCGATATCCAGCGTATGAACTATAGCCTTCTGTCGACAATGGTCTCCCTAGGGTTTGGGGAAGCAACCCAAATATTCCCCTTGAAGGAAACAATAAATTGGATGGTTTGAATCGGGGTCATTCCCTCATTCTGCGGAGCACCAGCAAGACAGCACCCAGATCTTTCGTCCCAAAGGGCGAGCTCGAGATGAATTCGAGTCTTGGATCGCCTCCCCTTGACTGCTCACGTCGACTGGTCAACAGCTGCGAGCGAACCACGAAGAAACCTTTGGGGTTGTCTCAGAATAGGTCCAAAAAGTTGGCTTCCATTTCGGTTTCTCTTTTAGTCAGCAAAAGGGTACCTCAAAACGACCAAGCCATGCTTTGCGCCTGTGCAATCATATTGCTTTTGGCGAGGGGCTGAATGCAAGATCACACTGCCTGACACTGACGGAACTCATCCAAGTGGCGCTGGGCTAGCTTTCAGGAGCCATGAAGCGCCAGGGAATAGTTTATCGCACACCCAATAAAGCCGTTGACAGTTGGTTGTAGCAACATGGTGTTCTAATCCTTAATGGCTGTCCAGAGAATTGTGGTGTGTATTTGTCTGAGGCTCGGTACCCGTTTTGGGATGGTCTTCAAGGAAAAGAAGAAACAAATGCCATGTTAGGGTCTCTTGAAAAAACACATATTCTACAAATTTGCTTAAAGACGGGCGACCAGGTCAGCCTGCAGCGTCCGCTTCCCAGAAGTACGCGTGGAAGCGTGCCTTGGTCCCACTGGCAAAGCGGCTGCGGAAGCCCGGCGGTTCAATGGGACCAAACTCGGACCCAGGTCGCACCCTCCGTGTGTGTGTGTTTGTTATCCCCAATTCTGGGGATCAGAGCTCAAAAAAAGATGGCTGTGGCTCAAAATTGAAGAGCTAGGGCCAACCGCAGGTTTAAGTCTTTAGCGCATTTACCAAGGTGCCATTTTAGTACCACTGTTTTGAGCCAACAGATATGTTCAGGCAAGGCCCATATCAGCGTCCCACTTTCCGGGCCCACTGATCCGCTTGAGTGGTTGGTTTATTCGCGCATGCGTTAGCCGCGTTGCGCTGGTTGTCGTTGTGCAAACAAAACAGCAGGAATGAGACTTCTCTGGTATCTAACTCCCATGTAGCGCTTCGCGGACCATGATTCCCGGGAATCAAGAACAGAAATCAAGCTGCAGTTCCCAACTAAGCTTGCAAAGGTGTTGACTCAGTCTCACATAGCCACAGAATTAAAACAACAACCCAAGAAGACTGGATATAAATCCTGCATGTCTGTCAACCAAAGGTGCCCTACATAAATGTTGACTGTGTTGGGTTCAACTCTGCAGAATTTGTGTGAATGCCAGTCAGAAGTTCAGCCCACTCAAAAGGTAAGCCCAAACGAAGAGCTTAAAAACCTAAACCTCCCCCAAAAGAACAGTGGAATCCAAAGGACAATGGGTGTGTCAAAAATAGGCGGACAAACTGGCGATGTTTGCTCTGGTTTCCTTTAGGGTACCCTAACAGGCCAAACTCACCGGCATCTTGTTATCTTGATTTCACAATGCAAAGAAGCATCTTGTTATGATTGTTCAGTGAGCTCTTACCCCCAAATCGGCATCGCTCGAAATAGAATTGAATGCACCGGATTCTAGCTCCCTCTCCACGGGGGTTTCGGAAATGAACCGGAGAGCGGTGAATGGAATTCAGTTGCTTGCCTCAAGGAAAGTCATTTGCAGAAAAACACGGGATATTTTGTGTGCCAAACCAAAACGGGCTAGAACATGGTGGCTTGTCTTTTTGAGGATTTGGTTTAAAGTTTTCAAGGGGCACCAAAGGGAAACAAGAGCACATTTGTTGGGGTCGATTTCGAGACAATTTTCACAAAATCAAACCGCCAATCCAAACGTCAGTAGTGTCAAAGTGAAACAACAGAAACAGGTCCGTTCGAGTCGCCCAGGACAAACGACAAGCAAGATGGTCTGTCTTTGGTTAATGGTACCCCCCCAAAAAACAAGAGGTTTCCTGTTTGGTTTCGTGTTGAACCCCCCAAAACAAATAAATAAATAAATAAATAAATAAATAAATAAATATCAAAAAATAGGACACACCCATATCAACCAGAGAATCCTGCGACAATTCCGTCAGATCCCCAATTGGCGCCCCGGCCAGCCAGGTGAGACTGGCGCGGGCGTGCGCCGCCTCCAGGTTCTCCGGGTGCAAGGGGAAGTCCACCTAAGCGGGGAAAAGGCGGTGCTGCCAAGTGGGTCATTCTGTGTGAAGTGACATGAAATCCAAACAGGCTCAGTAGTTCAGTGACCCTGGAAAACAAGAATTGGAACCCTTTTTGGGGAAGACCAAATTTTTAGTGGGGCAGCCATGCAAAAAAAAGGGAAACAGGGTGCCACTGAACTGTGGGTGACATGAAATGGCGAGGTGGGTCAAAAATAGGGTAACCCCAAAATGGATCCCTGGTAAATGGAAACATGGACTAAAACCTGCGGTCCATATCCTGGGTTCAATTTTGACCCATACCCAAATCTAAACAGAGAGTCTTCCCAAGCGCAGACTCCAACAATGATGGGTTTCGGCGTTCTATGTTCAGTTGCAGGGGAGTGGTCATTTACCATGCCCAGAAAAAAGCCGAGCCAAGTATATAGCCTTGGAAGATAGCTCCGTTTTTGTTCGTTCGAATGTTGGCCTCCAATTCTTATCAACCCCTGTTCCAAAAGCGATACATCCCCACTAAGCCGAGGGGCACCCATGTTGATAAACAGGGGTTTATTTTCGGGGTCCTCCCAGAAGCTTGGAAGCCTTCCTAAAGGTTGCGAATCATAGAAACCAGCAAGCACAAAGGCGCCGAGGCGCCACTGCAGATTGGGATTCCTGATTTGCGAAACGGAGCAGCCTCGAAAAAAATAGATGTAACTTTGTGGCTGCCAATTTGCTACTTGAACATAGAAACCAGCAAACCAGGAATTTCTGAAGGATTTCCCGCAGCCAGTTTCCCAGAGTTGAGGTTGCAAAGGGTTCATGAAGGCATTTTGGAAGGGGTAATAAAGGACAAACTATTTGGGCTTAAAGATCTACAAAGGGTTATAGCGGTCTACATTCACGTCTGTAAAGGTTATCAAACCCCATCTGGACAAGTGTAAGGCTTATACACATGTTTTAGTGTTCCATAGCTTGATACTTGTTTGTATGGGTGTAATTTCATCTGGGGGAACCTGTTCTGGGGCAGTTTAAAGGGACAACAATCAGGAACATCACAGACTTTTGGGAGTTCTTTCTACTTCCCCTACAAAGTAAACAAACAACCTGACAAAAGCGTGCCCCAAAAGAGACTCCTCGAGAATTCGGGCCTTCTCAGCTGAATCAGAAGGGAAGCGTGTAGAGGCTTGGCACACTAATTAGGGCTTTTCTCTTTTGGCACCAACATGCTTGTCACGTGAATCCTGCCATGTCCCTGCTTTCCCTGCACATTGGTTTCTCTAAAAGTAAGGAACCATCATCATGGGCGAGGTCACAATAAGCCTCTTTGTGAGGTTCCTAACAACTCTTTCCCAAAGCTTGTCACTAGGCTGTCCAACAAACGGCTGGCTGACTCTCCCAACATGACTTGCAACTTAGGCCTCTTCTTCGTGTGATAGCTGAATAATTGCTACCATGTGTGTTTCTACAGCTATGTTTGAAGGGCCCCAACACAAAATTCCGTTTAAGCAAATACGCAAACGGAAACTGTGGGAACACTTGGGCAAATACGGAAGATGAGGGACAATGATTGTGGAAGTTGCTCTGCGTTGAGTCCGCTTGCTCGGGGTCCAACGCGCCTCGCGCGCGCGTGCCACGTGCTCGGCGCATGGACCATGTTCTGTTTGCATGGCTGGGCCCGCCTTCTGCCACCACAGTCCCTCATAGTCTTGCAAACTCCTCCTCCTGCTTATGCTATAGCCGCAAAGGCAGGACCACATGGTCTCCATGGCTTTCCAAAAAACTAAGGCTCTGAGGATAGTTCGAAGGATATACAAAAGTTTGCGTAAATGCCCACCAACTCTTTCGGCCTTAAGGAACTCGTAGAAATTCCAACTAGTTTCTTAGGCTTGGGGACTCTGGGGTCTCCAAAAAATGCCATATTTGGGGTAGACTAAGTATGGACCAGAATGTAAACATATTTCTTTTTCCCCTGGTTTGGACCCTTCAGGCTCCCTGGAACATGTCCTGTGCTTTGCAAGTCGCAAGACCTGCAACTCTTGGATTGCGAGTCAAAGTTTGGAGACGAAAAAAAGTCCGCTTCCGGGTTCCTTCGAGGAAGGAAGCATGGGGAAATTCGGTGGAAGCTTGTTAATTTTGCTCGCTGTTCGAAATGCTGCAAGGTTTGAGGATTACCTTTTGTCTTTGAGGGGTACCCCTTTGACAGGAAAACCCACTTGTTTGTTTTCTGGGGGGTCTCTAAAAAGCACACACACACACACATGGAAGGATATATTCAAGAACATGGAAGCTTCTGGATGGCCACTGTACGAACTAAGTCTTCCGAAGGTCGACGTCGGCATTTTCTCTTCCATTGGGGCACCAGCGGTGAGGTCGTCGAAAAGAAAGCAAATGCTCTCAGGGTTCTCCTCACCTTGGCGAGCAGGCGATGGAACCTGAAGCCACTTAATGGTGAATTCCAACGAACTACAATTTTAAAGAAGTTGTTGTTGTTGTTGGGAAGCACCATTTGTGAATCCCAAACAATCCATGTGTGCAGTAATTACCCACACATACCCACACCAAAGGGGTCAACAGTTGGTATATGTTACCTTCATAGATTCTGTGGGAATGGTTTTCGCACCATTTTAAATGGTTGTTTCAAACTCAAGGCTCCGGATCGTGGATCTTGATTGCCTACACCCTCCCTGTCACCCCAAAGGCCACCTCGGCAAGCACCCAAAAGCAGAGCTTCCCCAAAATACCAAGCGTTGTTGCTTACTCTACTTGCGTTCAAACAAGCCGGAAGTTGGCTCCCCAAGTAAACCCTACATCACGGACTTTCGATTGTTTAGCCCTTGGTGAGCTCCGGATAAACAAGGCATATGACTGACAAACTCAGACTATTGTCCGCCGAGACGGACGTGAACCTTCTGTTAAAATTCACAGCCACCAATTATGTTTCACATTTGTTGTTGTCAACACCAAGTTTGGGGGAGTCAAGTGGCAGACAGGGGCAGTATGCCGCCTTTTGAAAGGGCATACCAAAAAGGGCATACCTTCATCTTGACCGCGAGAAAAGTGTGATCGCGTAAAAGACAGATATTAAGTTGGCATGGGCCCTGAAAACACACGTATTTCTAGAGGAATCTATGCGTACGCAAATGTGTGTGTGTACAATATCTTTGCGCATACCTTGCACTTGAATAACCCGACATGACACCCGCCACAGATAGATTGCACAAGCACATGCTGAGAACCAAACTGAAAACCAAGGCACCGTTCAACCATCAAGGTTCAACCTAACTAGCCCATCAGCCAAATGATCGGTGTCAACGTTCAACCAAAGTTGAAAACCTAAAGCACTCCTGGACCCCAGAAAACAAACAAAATGGGTGGCTTGCTTGTTGGCTTCTGATTGAAAACAACCCCAAGGCAGGGGGTCAAAGGCAGCTAGAGACGGACAAAACCTAAGGCACCATTTAAGATTAATGAGACCGTGTGCCTTTCTTGGAACACACACACACACACCCCGGCCGCAATGGTGTTTCTTTTTTGCCTTTCTAAAAACTACAGCTCCCCAAAGCGCCACATTGGCGCTGGGAGAACTCATCACACACAAGGTGATTCCTTTTTCAGTTAATCGGTTAGTGCACAAAATTGAGAGAGAGAGAGAGAGAACCCACGGCCACACTTTTCCCCAAATTTGACGAACACTGACACTGAGGATAAATCACCACCCACAACAAATGCTGCTTTTTTAGAGCCACGCCCGAATGTTTTCATGAACAACAGGGGATCAAAACAAAACAAAGGATCAACATATGAAAACGGAGGATCAAAACAACCCACGGGACTTTTCGAGGCTCTGGCACATCAGCATGTGCGGCAGCCGGCAGAACTTCCTCACCCGTGGGGCTGCGGACAAGTAGAACCTGGGAAAACGTCGAGGGAAATTCAGCCTCCCTCGTGGTTTAGTCTTCACAGCCCGTATGGTACACCTTGTCGTTTTTGCAGCCCCCTACTAAGAATGGACGGGACAAAACAACTTGCCAAGACCAGTCAAGCAGTGGTTTGGGCTGGTCCGATCTTGGGAGTACCCCTTCCCCCTTTGGCTTTCAAAGGAAAATGGGTTCAAAGACCCCAAACGACTCATCCAAACCACCAACTATAACTTGAGATTTTTGGCTTGTGCGGGGAGGTGCCCAAAACGTCGGGGTTTGGTGTCGAAAATTGGTAAAAGAGCCCCAAAACGGCGGGCTGGCCTTACGAGGGTTGCCTTTTGGTTGGGCACCCTCAAACAACACACACACTCCATGGCGCGGCATACCCAGCGTACCAAATACCGTTACGGGCCTCCTGTAAACGAGAAGGAGCTTGGCTAAACATAGCGGTATGGACAGGTTCAAACAGGTGGGGGCTTGGGCCTTTGCCCTTTGATTTCAGTGTTTTGCTAGATGGAATTCTTGCCGGGTTGCTTTGAAATCAACCGCGCTCTTGGGTGTCCGAGCGCCATGCAAATATCGAGTAAGACATAAAAGTTTGCAAGGGATACATGCTTGCACGTGCCCCAATGAGACGTGGATCGTTCCTTCGCTTCGACTCCGGACTTGAAACCATCGACTCCGCAAATGGCCCGCATCTGTGCTTGCTCCCACACCATTCAAGTCTATGTGCTGGTCAAGTCCTCAAGCGGATACGTATCGCCCCCAACACACACACACACCACACACCCACACACCCACACACCCACACACCCACAAACCCACCCACCCACCCACCCACCCACCCACCCACCCACCCACCCACCCACCCACCCACCCACCCACCCACCCACCCACCCACCCACCCACCCACCCACCCACCCCCACCCCCACCCACCCACCGCACCCACACACCCACACACCCACACCCACACCCACACCCCCACACCCACACCCACACCCACACCCACACCCACACCCACACCCACACCCACACCCACACCCACACCCACACCCACACCCACACCCACACCCACACCCACACCCACACCCACCCACCCCCACCCAACCACCCACCCACCCACCCACCCACCCACCCACCCCCCCACACCACACCCACCCACCCCACCCACCCACCCCCGCCACCACTAAAACCGCACCAAACAAAAAAAACACCAGCCCCCACCCACCCACACAACCACACCACCCCACCCACCCCCCCCCCCCCCGCCTCCCCCACGCACACCACCCCCATCCACCCACCCACCCACCCACCAACACCACACCCCCCCACCCACCCACCCACTCCCCCCACCCCCCCACACCACCCCACCCACCCACCACCCACCCCCCCACCCCACCCACCCACCCACCCCACCACCCCACCCACACAAACCACCCCCCACCCACCCACCCACCACCACACAAACACACAAACACACAAACACACAAACCCACAAACACACAAACACACAAACACACAAACACACAAACACACAAACACACAAACACACAAACACTCAAACACTCAAACACGCAAACACGCAAACACGCAAACACGCAAACACGCAAACACGCAAACACGCAAACACAGCAAACACGCAAACACGCAAACACGCAAACACGCAACACGCAAACACGCAAACACGCAAACACGCAAACACGCAAACACGCAAACACGCAAACACGCAAACACGCAAACACGCAAACACGCAAACACACAAAACACACAAAGCACACAAACACACAAACACACAAACACACAAACACACAAACACACAAACACACAAACACACAAACACACAAACACACAAACACACAAACACACAAACACACAAACACACAAAGACACAAACACACAAACACACAAACACACAAACACACAAACACACAAACACACAAACACACAAACACACAAACACACAAACACACAAACACACAAACACACAAACACACAAACACACAAACACACAAACACACAAACACACAAACACACAAACCCACAAACCCACAAACCCACAAACCCACAAACCCACAAACCCACAAACCCACAAACCCACAAACCCACAAACCCACAAACCCACAAACCCACAAACACACAAACCCACAAACCCACAAACCCACAAACACACAAACACACAAACACACAAACACACTGCGAAACACCCGGCTGCGACCCCGCAGCTCCCACTCCGCTCGCTGCTGTTTGTCCTCAAACTGCAGTTTGATGTGAATGTCCGGCTGCGCCCCCGCAGCTACCCATGGGCTGACCACAACCCTGAAAGCCCCCCTGTGCCTCGGGCCCCTATGGCCACACACACAGACAAAGGTCAACAATGTGGAAGTCTGGGAAATGTACAATTCACACTCCCAAAAGAGTATTTTCAAAACTCTCTTTCCAAAGAAAGAACATTCACGTCGGAGGGGAACTTGAGGTGGCACCATTCTGGATCCACCGGAGACGGACCTTTCGATCAGCTCGTTCCCGAAGGATTTCATCCACGTCGTGTATGCAACACATGCCTGATGAGAGAAAGGACCTGAGCACAGCGGCGTCCATGACCTTGGTCAGAGCGTCAGCCATTTGAGCGGCTGACGGTACCCAGTGCACATCAATGCCTGACCTGGTGCGATCTTTAATCACTAAGGCTTCTAGTAAGGTGCGATGCTCCTGGCATTGGGGAGTGGCATTCTTAATGATCAAATCGTACAGGGATTTGCAGTCTACAATGGACATACCTCGAGGCAAAGATGGCAGGGTCTCCAGGGGCTTCTGCCAGGCGGTGGTCGGCTGTGTGATCCAAGCCCAACACATGCGAATCCAGTCCAACCAGTCTACAGCACTTGAAAGGGCATAAGTTTCAGCTGCAAGGGTGCTGCTTACTACGCGTGAAACTCGCTTGGAAGCCCACAGAAGAGGGCTGGATTTGGCTGGCTTCCTGCGTTCAATGTCCTTGTGCACAGCAAGGATCAAACAACCTCTCTGCGATTGAGACTTTGCTCGAGTGGCAAACGAGGCATCAGAGTATGCCACAAAGCGAAGGTCTTCGATCGGCATGCTGCGAATGACAATCTCGGTAGCAGCAAATCGCTTGGCCTCCTCCAGAAGCCGGTTTGCTTCAAGCAAATCATTCACACAACCATGAGGAACTTGGGTTTGCAAGAAACTCAAACGGGCTGCAATGTCCGGCCTAGTATTTACTGCGGCATACTGTAATGATCCGACAAGGGCCCTTAATTGTTTGCGCTCATCATCCGAAAAGGGGAGGCTACTATCTTTTCTTCGCATCCGATCTACTTGAATGGGCATAATGTCTCGAACATAAGCGGATTGGTCAAGGTGGATGTCCCAGTTTTCATCTTGGCGAATCTGGATACCTGTGAAAGTGAACTGCTTAGTCTTATGAGCACCAAAAGGATATTTGGCCTCAAGTTTCTTGATAGCAGCATCAAACACGGAGTCTCCACCGCACAGTCCATCGTCCACGTGTACTCCGACCACTCCGTGGACCTTTCCAGGGGATTCCACACCATTTTTGACCTGATTGGATGGAAGCACAAAAAGACAGTTGTCCATGGGGGACATAACGAAGCCTAAGCCCTCCAAGGCTTCCTTGAGTTCAACATACCAAAGGTACGGAGCATTTACTAATCCATATGCTGATTTGAGGAGTTCACAAACTTCATGATCTTTGAGCTTCATGGCTTCACGCATTTCGGGAGGCGGTTCCATCCCAAGAATGCGGGAATCCCGCCGAGATCCACGAAGGAAAGCCGTCTTGATGTCAAAAGATCGGACAGTCCATTGCTTGGCAGCAATCAACTGAAGAGCCAACATTCGCGAGTCTCGGCTGACGGTTGGCGAGTCTCTCGGAATGGACTCAACTTGCGGATCCTCATAGCCGAGCACCACGAGACGTGCTTTTGCCTTCTTTACACTAGAGGCATCACAGGGGTCCGGAGGTTTCCAGGTAAGGACCCACCTGCTACGGAGAATTTGGCTCTCCGGAATCTGGTGTCTGGCAATCTTTTGCACAGTCTCGGTGTTCAACCATTGGTGAACCTCTTGTTTCTTGGCCTTGGCAAATTGGTCACGCTCCTCATGAGTGAGCTCAGTCATGCGGACCTCGCTTCGCTGGCGCTTAGCAACAGATGCAAGCAGGCAGGGTACCTCATTTGGCTGGGCACTGAACAACGTTTGCAAGTCACTTGCAAACAGATTTACTTCAACCTTCCAACCATGATTTTCGGGTAACGGAGGCTCTGTCTCTTCTTGCATGAGGAGAGCATATGCATCTGAGTCCGTAGCGACCAATTCATCGGGCAATTCAGCAGGCACTGGAATGTCTGCTGCAGCGGTTGATTCCACGTTGGGGTGCACAGGAACTTCCTCGGATTGGGAGTGTTCCGTTTGGGGAATCTCCTCGGATTGGGAGTTCTCCCGGATTTCAGTCTCTGAGGCTGCACGACTCGCGGCTTGGGGCTCAGCATCAGGTTGGGACGCTGGGGATCTCGGTGCAGTCCCTTCAGGGTTTCTCGATGGAATCCCAGGAATGATTTCTTCTGGCATTGGAATGGGGTTCTGCCTTGCTAAGTCGTGATATCGTGTGATTCCTCTACCGATTTGCGGGGATAACAGATTTGGCGGTTCCTGAGTTTGGTCAACAGCTAGGTACTCACGATCGGACAACAACCGCAGGTGCTCGGGAGCACACCGAAAGATTCGACTCAAGTGGGAAATCCACACAATGTTCTCCCCTTCGGGCGCTATCACCTGTGCTGGTCCATACCATTGACCGGGGTTTTCTCCACGGCCGTCACGCCAGAACATTACCAGGCTGCCGGGCATCCGTTGGCCGCGAAAGGGCCTGACTCGTCGAAGATAGGCTCTCCTCAAGCTATCTTGGTTATCAGCCGTGATGAAGGCTTTGCGGGCACACTCTCGCTTTGCC